AGCCCTTGCATCATTGCTGGGGCCTCCTCTGGCCCCGCTCCCACAGCTCCAGCTCTGTCCTGTGCTGAGGGCTCCAGAGCTGGACGCAGGACTCCCGGGGGGGTCTCAGCAGAGCGGGGCAGAAGGGCAGAATCCCCTCCCTGGCCCTGTGCCCACGCTGCTGGGGATGCAGCCCAGGGCACGGTTGGCCTTCTGGGCTGTGAGTGCGCGTTGCTGGGTCATGGCCAGCTTTTCATCCCCAGCACCCCCAAGTCCTTCTCCCCACGACTGCTCTCCATCCCTGGCACATTGCTGGGTCATATTGTGCATCTCAGCAAAGAACACCCCCAAGTCCTTCTCCTCAGGGCTGCTCTCAATCCATTCTACGCCCTGTCTGAATAGCTATGTCCTCTTCAGTCACCCTGACTAGTACGAAGTCACACCCCAAGAGGAAAACCTTTAGATGTAGGAGGGCAGATACAACCTTAAAGCACCAGAAGGTTTAAAATGTGTTAAATAAACCTGTTAATAGCTGTTAAACCTACCCCTGTCCTGCTCTGTAAGTGTGGCAGCTTGTTGGCGACGCAGACTTCAGCCTTTGAGAAGAGGTGATGACTCCTCAAACACTGGAGAACCGCGCTGTGATCTACCTTCCGGCTGGTGGGTATGGCAGCCATTCACCTGCGGAGAACGGGAACAGCAGCATTTGCAAAAAAGTCTTATCAAGTGAGTTTATTCTCCAAGTAAATAACCCCTTCTCCAAAGCACCATCAGTCCTGCTGCAGCAAGTTTACCTATGCCTGGCTGTGGCAACACAGATTTGACTGGATGCATTCACACAGCAGCGTGCCCTGATTGCCAGGAAAGCCAATGGCATCCTGGGGTGCATTAAGACGACTGTGGCCAGCAGGTTGAGGGAGGTTCTCCTCCCCATCTGCTCTGCCCTGGGGAGGCCCCATCTGCAGTGCTGTGTCCAGTGCTGGGCTCCCCAGTTCAAGAAAGATGAGGAGCTACTGGAGAGAGTCCAGCGGAGGGCTGCGGGGATGAGGACGGGACTGGCAACT